AATGACATATAAGAAGCCCTATCAAGCCGTTTGCCTTTTAAAACCGCCAACTCGCAATCCAGTACAGTACACTTGGTACTTCAAAGACCGAGTATTCGCTCACGGTGATCGCCTGATGGTACCTGAACTGGACGAGGACTCTGTTGGGAGGTACATCTGCCGAGCTAGAGTCCCAATGCCGTCAGGAAACTGGCAGGAATCGCATGGAGTCATAAATTTGCAGTATCAGTCAACCCCTTCTGGAAACAATGCGGGTAGCTGCACCTGTGTAGTTTTGTGTCCATAATCACGTTGCGAATTTTGTTTTAAAAGTCACAGAATGCGGATTTTCAGCAGCTCCTAAACATTTAGTCGAACCAGTTTTATCGCCATTTGCATTTATATGCCATACCAAAGACGATGACTAGATTATATTACCACAGAGAAGCATACAGAGAAGCAGGACTGGTTAGTAACACCTATAAGATGTGTTCTTCATAAGTATCTAGTTGAAACGTTTTTTCCTCAAATTAGGCACGCAAATGTGTACATATACGTGCCCTAGGGACCCTGTGGGGACAGTAACTTTGTCATATCGATGTCCCGTTCATAATGGACTAATTTTGTAGTTATTGTAAAAGAGTGGTCAAACTTAGTGAACAAGGAAGACAGTATGGTTTTCAAATAATTTTGAATCTTTCCACTTTGTACCTGCCTTCTGCTAAAATCCAGGCAGAAAATGGAAAAAATTAACTATTATGTCATAGCCAAGCTAAAATGCAAGAGACTATTTTTAACAGAATTTCTGAGCACTGAGTATCGGTTTGAATATTATTACTGGATAGAAGGTTGTGACCTTGTAAGAGATCTTATGACTTCCAAATAACTGTCTTGACTGTAAACTACATCCGCCCGTCGACTCCACCTACTTATTTTCTGACGCAAAGAAGGTTCAATTTCAATTTATCCACAGTGAATTCCGCCTGATGTAGCTCATCTGATGAGAATGTTCATCCTGTCGCTCCACGTCTTTCATTCTGGAACAAGGAACCAAATTTGGCCGTCTAACTCTACTAAACGGAGGAGATTGCAGTTCGAAGACATATGGCTACCTTCTAGTTAATAACACATCGGTAGTTGCGTTCAGACTTGCGAGACCCTGTCCAACGTCAGTTGGCCGGATAACCAGGACGAAGTTCGAGTGATAATGCGAAATGTCGGGCCAATAAATTTTTTGTCTCGGTGATTGCATCTATGTCTTCTGAACTGCTTCCTGGAAATCGCCTGTTCGGTTCTATCGGAAGTCAGTAGTCTGGGGTTTATGCTAGAGAAAACACAATAAATGGCCAAATCTCTAAATCGATTAGATTTCAATGACCTTAACCATTTAAACTAGCTGGACTGTCCTTCAGCCCAAGTGGCTGTGGACGAGCACCCAGGCTATTAATTCCTCTTCTACACTCATTCCAACACGAATACTTGTACTTGATACGGCTGCGATCATGCCTGATCTAGCCGGCCTCGATGACGTCCCGAACCGTACCTCTCCACGCGGGACGATCCGCGGCAGCAGATATGGACAGCTCAACCCATTTCCTTCGCCAACCTCACTCATTCAAACATCATAAACAAGTTCATAATAAGTGAGGTATTTTGCCGGAATCACACTTTGCTTAAGACGCTACAAGCGCACAATGCCTGGGTGATGCTGATGGATTTCAGCCCAGATATTCATATCGAAGTTTAGTCTTAGTTTATAAGCCTCAAACAAACCGATTCACTCTAGGTAAGTGATTAGTTTTTGATGAAATTAGAAACCGGCAATTTCAAAAGTGGGGTATATATCAAAATCCACACAGGGAACGCAGGAGGACCTACTGATGAGGTGAGTCCCTCGTAGGTATGTCATGCAGCGGCGGCCTGTCGGTGAAACACGTGTCTGAGCTTTTGTCTAGTACTTGTGCTGTCAAGCATGACACATCGTGCCGCCTATGTTCTTTAGTCTGTCCATTTATGTACGATTTGGTCCAAAGTCGATTAAAACTACCCCTAGATCTATCGTAAGATGGTCATATTCTAACTGGCCAACTGATCTTCGTCGAAGTTCGAAGAAGGCAGGGCAAAACTGTTAACACTGTCTCTTAGATCAACTGACATTCAACTGTGAACAGGTGGCCGTCGTGGCAAACAACAGATCCATCGGTGAGCTGTGTTTTCGATGCATTTTTGCGACAGTGCCAAAAGTGTAAGATAATGGAGATTGGACTTATTTGCTTTGCTTTAAAATCGCTAATAAATAGGAAAAAATGGAAGTCTTCTGCCTACACGTTTCACTCAGTGAGAACCACTGAGAACCGAATTAGGTAAATGTCGGAAGCGTAACGTTCTCACCGTGTCTACAAGAGTGTTCGCTTAGAACGTTATGGAAGGGAGAAATCGGACGTTGACTCGGTGGATTGTGATTTTTCAGCAGTCAGGATCTAAGTCCCTGCATGCAGGCTACTCAGTGGATACAGAGAAGGCATCTTATAAAATGCCAGTTTGTAGTCGTATGTAGGCTTCAGCTTTCGATATTCAGGTTATCCCTTGACTTAGTTGCCAGACTTAGTTAGAATAAGCTCCTCGGTCTCGGTAAAGTATTGGACATAAGCCGTTCCCTGCTCATGCAATCTTACAGGCGGGACTTGGAAATTTAGACCAGTTTTCCGTCCCGAGGCGGTGCAAGCAGTCTGCCTTTTTTCCTGTGTGGTTGTGTCCTCTGTGCATTAAATGTAAGCATCTGACCTCGGACAACGGTCGCCATTTCATGATGACGTCCTGCTCTTGTGACCTTTTCTAGATGCTCAGTTTACCAGATCGATGCCCGGGTACAGCGCCACTATCGCACCTTTACAAGGTCCGCAAATGCTTGTTCATCGGGCGTCCCTCCGCCTAGTTCGCAGCGGTCCCTGCTGCCAGACAGACGTTCCAATACCAGACACTGGCGACCACACTGGGTAGCCTGAAACTAGGCTGACTGGCAAAGTCCCGTAGACCTGAGGCTCCTGTCTTCCCGGTACTATCTCTATGCGACGCCCATGGTTAAGGGCGGTAGATTTTGATCAAACATTTATATGCTTCTTGAATACATTCCGCGCGTGAAATTGTACGAACACATTAGACTTGTGGATAACGCTTCGGTCTGTAATTTCGGAATTTTTTATAAAGAAATAACGACCTATAATAAAATAGTGCATTAAAAGTTTTTTCCCTACAGTTTACTTGAGTCGGTAGTAATCATGCCGACAGTGCGACATATTAGAACACCTAAACCTTACCCTTGTTAGAAAAAAACAAGTCTATCCCTGGGTCCCGCACCATTGGATATACGCAACGCATGACAATGAATGTCTTGGGCAGCTTTTCAGATAATATGAGAAGGTGTCTACTTAAGGAGCAAACCATATAGATGTGGTAGACAACATTATTTACACCGTCGAGCGTTCTTACCATCCTCACCATCCTTATTTAATTTATTTTCATTGGAAAAGACCACACCGTGACGCAAAATATATTCAGATTGCGCGATCTTCAGTAAAACGCATTCATCATTCTTCGTAGTATTTCGTCAACGCCGGTATTTGTCAAAGCTGCCAATGTGTGAATATCCACGAGCTCTTTATTATCCTATGAATTGTAACCTTTGAAAACACCAACATCAAATGTTGCATGTGTTTCTATGCACTATCACCTCTCGCAGATGAGGATAAGGGGGTGCTTAGTTGGGGATCAATCCGTGTAGGTGTGGTAGGTTGCATTATTTGCCTCGTGCAAGTGGCGGCTGCTCCGTACGACCCTTAACTGTCAGCTGCGGCTTCCAGAATTTAGGCTCGGCCTAGCGGCCGGCGTGCTTAGTCTGATGAGGTTACACGATGTTGTGTGTCCCCACACCCGGTAACTCTGCTCCCTTCCTCTGCTCCTGCTTTCTACTTCGCAAGTCCTACAGAGGGTGCGATAGGCAATTCCGTAGACTGCCCAGACTAACTCGGGCCGCTCACACTCTAATTTAAGCCGTGACCAATAGTGGAGTTTGTCGGCCATCTGTGATGTTTACGCAGCCCTAGTTAGCGATAGCCCTGCCTACTCTCTCACAAAACAAACAAAAGCTGGAAAACCCCGCCATCTGCACAGCACTATTTACTCGCTCCCAGAGGAAGGAGCTAGAAAAGGCTCTCTAAACAAATGCCCGGACCACATTATCTACTCGCTGACCAGGATCCGCAGACGTACAAATCATGGTCAAAACAATAAAACTGACAACAAATCTTGTCTCCATCCCCCCTTCCCACCCCATAGGCTGTTAGAGTGACTCCGCTCAGTATGGTAGCCTGGAATGTCCGCTCTCTTCTAGAAAATCCACGCCGTAGTCAGCTGAAACGGAAGACGGGGACAGTCATTAGAGAAGAGGCGGGCCACGACGTGGACATCGCTGCCCCCAGCCAGACCCACTTCTCCGAACAAATTCAATTGAAACATGTGAGTGCCAGCCACACCCTCCTCCGCAGTGGACACCCAAAGGCAGAGCGACGCAACATAGGTGTCGTTTTTGTCATCTGGAACGTCATCGTGGGGCGACTGCTCTGTCTGCCGCAGTGCATCAACGACTGCCCCTTTGGGGAGTTAAAGTCGCCAACGTCATCAGTGCCTGCGTCCCCCCAAAGATTAGCTCTGACGGGGTAAGGAATAAATTTTTCAGCAACCTACCCTCCCCTCTGGAGACTGTGTTGAAGGCGAATGAGTCACTTGTTGTTGGTGACTTAAATATCCGCGTCGAGACAGACCACGATGCCTAAAAGGAAGTTCTGGGCTGCCATGGTCTCGGCGACTAAAGCAAGAACGCGTCTCCCCCTCCACAAAACTTTGCAGAACAGCATCTCCTCCGGACCAACACTTTGCGCCTTCCGACTCAGGGAAAGTCTACCTGGATGCACTCCCGATCTCGACGCTGGCAGCTGCTAGATTATGACCAAGTCAATCTGCTACGCCGAGGGATCGTTGGATCACTACTTCGTCATCTTCAAGGTGAGGCTTCGACTGTAACCTCACAGGAGGCCACCAGATAAGCGACCACCAGGCAAGTTAAATACTAATCTGTTGAGTTTGCCTGATCACCGCTTCGACTGTGACGATCAAGTCGCCAACCAAATGGAAGACATGCAGGCTCCAAATGGCAACGCCGCCATGAAATATAGTTGTACCGACTTCTGAGCATCATTCACGCCACCGCCTTCAACGTTCTCGTTCGTGCAGGGCGTCAACACCAGGGCCAGTTTGACGACGACTAGAAAATCAGCTGTTTGCTCGCCGAGAAAAAAGGGCTGTTCAATTTCTATGGAAAATTGTGAACTTAAGCTAACAGGGCGGTCTCCTTCGGATGTGGTCGTCTTGGGCAGCATTCGGCTGTGAGAGCTGCAAAATTAGTCAATGGGTCGCAAGGCCAAAGAAATTTAAGGGTACGTGAATATCAATGAAACAAAGAATATCTTCCCGTCAATCACGGAATGCTACCCTACACCCCCCCCCACCCCCCCCCACCAAGGCAACTATATTGTTGTTCAGATTCGACGGACTAGCGCTCCTAATAAACAAATCTCAGATTATAAAGAGCTGGGCTGAGTATTACGAAGCCGTCCTCCACCGTCCACCCACGATCTTCGGCGCCGCCATCGACCGGTTCCCTCAAGCAGAAACGAACAACGACCTGAGCCTCCAGCCTTCTGCCGCAGAAACTGTCAGAGCTGTACACCAACTATTCTGTGGTAAGGGTGAGGGATCTGTAGCGGTCCCTGCCGAACTCTACGAGCATGATGACCCCAACTTAAAACGGAATACCAGGGGATGTGGAACTGAGGACAGATTAATATAGACTTCAAAGACACCAGCATCGGCTATCTCTACAACCAGAAGGGAAGCCAGCGAGTCTGTAATAATCACGGAGGAACGTCGCTGCTGACCTATACTGAGAAGATCGTTGGTCACATTTTCTCCACTCTTCTCAACCTCCCAGACGAAGCTCCGGAACAACCAACCTATCACAAGAGAAGTTCCAAGCAACGCATACCAAAATCCAAGTTGAATTCGTGGAACTGAGAAAGGCATTTGTCACACTGAATACTGATGGATTCTGACAATCGTTCAGAAATTAGGTTGGCCGAGACAATGCCCGTACATGTCGCCTCAGCTTCCCAGCAGAATGATGGCAAGCATCAGGGACGAGAGGACTATCTCAGAACCATTCGTAGTAATCAATGCAGTCAAACAGGACTGTGTACTCATTGTCACTCTATTCAGTCTCCTGTTCTCTGCCATGCTGAGGCATGTCTGCTGTGATGTGCTCCCTGTGATCATTATTGTCTACCGGACCGATGACCAGCTTCTCTATACCCGAAACGAGCAGACCCCACCAAACGACTGGGCGTCCAACACCGCGACAGAACCGGATGTGCAACGCGACGTGGATCGCTTTGTCGCCGACTGTGCACACTTCGGACTGACCATCGATATGGGCAAAACGGTTAGAGCATTAGTCGCCACCCCACTCTGAACACATTTCCTCGTGCGTCACTGTAAACTACACTCCGTACTACATTCAAATTCACCTATTTAGACAGTACACTCGTCTGCAGCACAAAAATTGAGGATAAAGTTACGCACCGGATCTCCGAATTCTGCCATGCCTTCGACCAGCCGCAGAACTTAGTGTGGTATTGTCATGAAACTCATCTCAACATCAAGCAGAAGATGTGCAAACTATCATTTGACAACACTGCAATTTCGAATGGAAGCGTGGAGAGTTTGAGAGAACCAGACGGGGAGACTCAAATATTTGCACTGTGGTCGCCTCCGGGAATACTGAAATTGCGATAGCTAAACAAGACTCCGGATAAAGACACCCTTGAAAGAAACGGACTCCTTAGTATTCGGGTCTTGATGAGGCAACTTCAACTGTGCTTTGGCGGTCACCTCGTGAGCAGGAATGAAAGACGCCGACCCAAGTGAATCTCCTACAGCGATGCTGGTGCAGTGCCTGCCGACAAGGAGGACAAGACCAGGTGCAATATGGACACTCTGAAAGCGCCTGTCAAGAAACTGTAAGCCGATGCAGAGACCTGGCAGGATCCGGCCCAGGATGGATCAGCCTGGAGAGGGGCAGTGAAGACTGAAGCAGCAATCGACGATCCTAATGGAATCGACGCTGTCAGAGCCAAAGGAGTGACTCAGACGTCTCAGGCACCTCCAACCCACAACGCCACTATCTGAAAGTTTGCAACTCATCCAGGCTGTCAATGAACCTCCTAGCACGTGAATCGACCTCATTGGACATCTCCGGACCCTGTGCAAGCACATCCAGTTAACTCCATCTGATGTCTCCGCAAACGCCTCCATCTGTATCGCTGTACTAACCCCATGCCGCATCCGAGACGGCGACCACCCCTACCACTGGTGATCATACTCCCGACTCCCCGTCATCCTCAGTCGCCGCCCCGACCCGCCCCCCATCTTCCAGCCACAACCATGGCGACGACGACTACCACCTCTTCTACTCCAGCCATCGACGAGAATACTTCCAACATCCGGCAACCAGTACCATCTCCACTCCTGCCACCAATGCAACCTCGAACCCATCATGGCCTCGTTGCGATCGCACCTTCACATCCGACATCGATCTTCTCCGTCAATTACGAATCCATTGCACAGAGACTGACGAACTGGTGCTCGGATCATCGAAATACACCTGTCGTCATTGCCTCAACTCTCCGCATTAAGCCCGCACCTTCGGCCACCACATAGGCCTTCTCGGCCACATATGCCTTAATGAAACAAACTAGGTAAACCATCGAAGACTAAACGGCATCATCACACAAATCCCCATAAATGCATTTACCCTGCATGAACATGACGGAGATCACACGCAGCAGGCATGAACAAGGCACCTCTAGCGTACAAAGGGAAGTGTGTTCTTTAGCTGCTTCTTGTGAAACCTCTGCTGACTGTGAGATCCGAGTGGTCTGTCTCCTCTGTGTGAAATCGTGTCATGCTCTGTTGGGGATCAGGTCGTGTATGTGACTCGTGCAAACGAGCTGTCTAGCTCTCTCTCAGTCATTGCGTGCAGTCCTCATATCAGATAACTGATCGGTTTCGAGAGATGAATGGTGCCTGGATGAGGGGCGAGGGAGTGATGTGGACTCTCAACCTAGATTCCTCACTACAAACATTCTGACGCGTACTGGGATGTATCATAATGTGGTATATACCATGACTTGGGATTCTGCCAGCTGACGGACTAACTTGTTGCTGCTTCTATGAATGGTGAGTCGGACTGGAAGATCTTCTTCTTACTTTGAATTTCTTTGAGCTTCCCCTCAGTTGACATCCACCCCCTCTCTCTTCGTGGTGTGCGAAATCGCGATGCATTGTCCGTGAACCGGAGGATATAGTGGCACGTTCGGTTACTTTTCACGGAACGCCTTCACAGTCCACGCTCATTCATCCATGGCATTGGCCATGACATCGACCACATGCGTTTCCATGTTAATCAAGGATAAATTACACCAGGCCAAACCATATCCTCGCACACCTCATCAGCGCATACACCTCATACAAGCCCATCATGCATCTCTCACTTCAGGCACGAAGCAGGCATATGGTGACTAAGTGGAAAGCATTATCTTCGACTCCTTCTCCGTGGGACAACCTTCTGCTCAAACGAGTAAGACATTCGAGAAGGCCAATGCTTTGTGTGAGGCTCTGCTGTGTTTTATGAGAAGCGGGTTGTATGAGGTTCGTGCAGGCGACCTGCCGGGCTGCCAGTCACTACCACGAATTTTGATATCGGTTAGTTGTCTGGTTCGGACAATCGATTAGTGCAAGCGAAAGGGAAGAGTGCGGGAGGGTGGCTCTTAACGCACATTCCTTGCTATTGACAATCTCATGCGCTTGATTGACTGAGGACCGGAAAACCATGACTCAGGCTGTTCACGGCTCACGCGGTTGTCACTTCTAGCAAGGATGTCTACTTAGTCAAACTTGAATATATGATTGGGTCCCTTTGAGTGAGCCGCGGCTTGGGAGCTGGCGTCATTTTCCTTCACCGCTTTGGCGTGCTTGATCATCCGCCTCCGCAATAGTTTTCCGGTTTATCCGACATTGTTGCATTGCCCATAGCTGTATCAGACACGGTAAACGACTGAAGATGTTTCTTGCCGTGTCAATGAGTTTTTCGGCCTCGCGATCTAGCGTCTTATTGTTGCCTCTGGTCTTTTTTGAGTTTGTTTAGGGTGGCTAACGGCTGGACTGAAATTTAGACTCAATGGCTCCTTCCCAATGTTACCATCCTGTCACTCGCATATATGTGAGCTTTGAGCATCTGACTCCATGCCGTCTCACGGCAGCGTGACTGTGTGCACCCTTGACTGGGAATTGGGTCTCGCCTCTCGGCCAGGAGAAGGGAACGCGGCAGTAGCAACAAGGGCGACAACAGTGAAATCTTCAGATTTTTCGGAGAAATAGACCCAAATCCTGACCCGGGGCAGAGGCAAGGAATAGAAGCGAAGAGACGAGTCCCAGAAGGCAGTCTTGAAGATGAAGAAGAAGAAGAAGAAGAAGAAGAAGACACGATCGCCGAGACAAGAGCTTTATCAGCCTGACGTTTCGGATTCCTGCTCGAATCCATCATCAGAGACAAAAGCAGATAAGGGTGGTTCATGCATATGCGGCTGCAGTATTTATAGGATGCAGTAACCATGCTACCGCATACCTAGGAATATTCACGGCTCCCCCCCCCCTTCATCAGTGGTCGTTGCACGTGGCGTGATGGCCGACACTCGTGTCGGTAATTGCTGCAATTTCATCACGTGCGTTGGATGTTGGTGTGATGATTGCTCGACCATACGACGCGCTGACCCGTGTGTTGGGAAGGGTGTTCACCAGAGAAACCGGAAGACAATTCCAAACGCGAATGGCCGAACACGCTGCAGCGGTGCGGAGAAATGACGCTAGCTCTCAAGTTGTGGCTCATTCGACGGGTTCCGGCCACACATTCAAATTTGACGAGACCGAAATTCTCACAAGAGGTGACAACCGCGGGAGCCGGGAGCTGCTTGAGTCACGGTTTACTGGCCCCAGTCTAATAACAAGTGCAATGATCTTCCCATTCAATACTCCGTGCTGAGACTTCGTCTAGGCGGAGTAACTGGCACGCGGGGAGCGCACAGGTGCACACTCTCCAACACCCGGGTCAGCGCGTCAGATGGTCGAGCAATCATCACACCTACATCCAACGCGCGTGATGAAGTTGTAGCAATTAACGACACGAATGTCGGTCATCACGTCACGTGCAACGATCCCTGATGAAGGGGAGGGGAGCCGTGAATATTCCTAGGTATGCGGTAGCATGGTTACTGCATCCTATAAATACTGCAGCCGCATATGCATGAACCACCCTTATCTGCTTTTGTCTCTGATGATGGATTCGAGCAGGAATCCGAAGCGTCAGGCTAATAAAGCTCTTGTCTCGGCGATCGTGTCTTCTTCTTCAAGAGGCAAGGAATCTTTATTGACTGTCCTTGGCATAGGTTTAGATTCCGAAAAAACGTTTTAGTGCAGGAAAAGACTGCACTTTTTAACCTTGTTTTTTTGTTTTAACTTATGGTTTGAGTTACGATGACTCCAGTATCTTTTTATGAACCTGCAACGGATTCCACCCCCACAACCAGGGGAGTGAGTACCTGTAAGCAAAAAGATGTTCATTCCGACCTTTGACATCTCAGCGTGAAACAAACAAAGAATACTGTCGCATGGCCGAGACCGACCTCATTTTTTAAGTTGTGCGCTTGGGGCTGACATGTTAGCATGCATATGCAGGCTGCTCACAGTAGAGGTTGTCACTTTGAGAACTGACAAAAACTGCTTGAAGCACACTTAATTCCAATAAAGCAACTAAATTTCAATGGGAGCCGCCAACAACGATGACTTAGTCTCAGAAGACTTTGGGTTTACTACGTACAATTTTCAACCTGTATGAACATTTTTCCTTTCAACGAATGTACTTTAAGTGATAAGTTTCGGTTATTTAAAAGAAATACAATTTCTTGGCTGACCTGCGGTCAGCAAGTATACTAATCCTGTTTGGCTGAATATACCGAATCATATACATCCGGGAGTAGATGCAAGGCCGAAAGGAATCATATTCAGCACAATTTCTGTAAATTGGGTCATAACTGGCGTTTACAACTTTTGTGACCAAGCCAATTTCTGTCTATTCCCCTCTGTTTTTGTTTACATGGTGAATTTTGACTGACGATTCGTCAGCTTGCACTGATTCGACACAGAAGACACCAAGATAAACATTATGTCTGACAGTTAGTTTTCTGTAAATTAACGAACACGTCAGTCCAGAACCGTATCCTTGTAGAACAGACAAGAACGGAGTGTACGTCCCCGCCTAAGTCGACACCGGTGGTCAGCCATAAACCAACCATAGGCCTGGGTGACTGGAATGTGAACTCGGGTCGGTTGGTCTGTGGGCATTTGGGCTAGATGCTTTACTGCTTGGGTCGCGTGATTCACGTCCCATTCATCGAAGATAGGGATAGACAGAGACAAGTCTGAGTGTTGCTTAAGAATCTGCCCTGCGTTACAGTTTATAGCCAGACAGTTTTTGAATTTTGGAAAGTTGTAACGGTAAACATCGTTATCATTACGCTTTTCTGAAAAAAACTTGACATGCCTCCCGCCTAACTCTTAGCCTGTATTTTTTGCCAACTAGCATGACTGATATTTCGTCTTCGTCGGTGGATTCCAAACGACTCGTGTCAAAGTGCATGCACCTTTTATTCGCAAACAGTAATCAAGCCTTGCTGCCAATTGTAAATAACGTTTGCTCGCCCGATTATTTTCTCGCCTTTTTGCGTATTCAGTTCGCATCGGCCAAAACAGCAGAATACTTGGAGAGCAATTCCATTTCTTCAGTGGAATCAAATAAAATGCGTTTTCCACATGACCATTAACGGTCGATTTAATAACTGTTTGGCGGTCCCTTATATGTGCTTTGCGTTCGATAAAAAAATCCTTTGCCTTACAGGAAACACCGTTAATAAACATGTGCATACGCCATTTCGAAAACATCCAAGAAGTGCTTAGAATGTAACGAGCTACGAATTGGAAGTTGGTATTTAACCCTTGAATTCTACGGTATCTTTTTTTGGAATATCTGCTCTTCACTGGTACTCAATGCTAACATTTAGCCCCAGAGTACCACAGAACTAGCTGGTAACTTTATGCTTTCTTATGATGGTAATTTCCATCTACAACGTTTTTGTGTGTTTCATGAGAGGTCGATTATTTGGTCGTAGGAGTCTATGGTCGGTTGAGGGGATCGCAGATGTTCTTGACTGATTTACGTCCAACGGCTTAAACAGCTTCTAGACGAAAATGTCAGAAAAGTTCATCAAATAACCGCTGTGGCGTCAAATTTTAAACTGGCAAGGCTACATTTTTTTGTAATTATGGTGCTCTGCACCTGATGGTGATCATTCTAAAACGCAAAATTTCGGATACTAGGTAACTACGTCTCTTCCCACTTAAAAGTTTTGCTGAAAGCATAGACTGATCACCATTTTCTAGAACTGGTCTTTTCAGACTAATTCAACTGTCAACCTAACCTTTCTAGAATTTAGCACTGGGCCACTTGTAATACGCGAAATACTTATGCCTGCGTCCTCACAAATAATATTCAAAATATTACGGTGGGTTCGCGTTCAAAAAGCGACAAGTCCATAAACTGGAGATGT